CAACAAATTACCTGGCATTTATGTTCTAATAAATAATTAATGAACATTTCAAGAATATGCTTAGGAACTGTACATACCTCATCCCAAATAACAACTCGTGAAAATTTTTTCTCTCCCATGCGTTCAGGTGTCCACTTTCCCACTCCATTCCATCTGAAGAAACTTTGCCAGGTTTGAGCTTTTACATCACGTTTTTCTCGAAAATCTTTAGCTAATGCATTTGTATGAGTAAATACAACCATGTTTATATTTTTGAAAATTTGAATTGCACGTGTTGTTTTTCCTGAACCACCTCTTCCATTAAGATATGATTTCCGACATCTTGTAATAGGATCATGAATCGAGGGTGCTGTACTTTCAGAAATATTTTTGATTGATTCCCAATGCCTATTCTTTGGCCAGTATACAATATCGGTAACTAGTCCATATATTTTTTTACCTTTGTCATACTATTGACCAGGTTGAATTTCTCGAATTTCTTATTCTTCTAGTTGATGTGAAAAAGTATAGGAGTCTGGTCTATAAAACCATTCTGCAAAGCAAAATCTGCAAATAAATGGTTTATGTCTTTACAGTCATATTTTACTAGAGGCGTTTTGGTTTTTTGGAACTCTTTAATCCATTTTGCATATTTAGATTTTGAAATAAAGAATTCTTCTGGATCAGTACACATTGCACAAGAAGGATAGTGTGAACATAAATTTGGATCTGACTTTACCTCAACTTGCTTGAAGAATGCCGGTATATTTTCGATCTTATATAAAGCCTCTTTTCGTATATATATAGAATCTGTAGCAATCCTTACTACTTTATTAGGATCAAATCTCTGAAGCATCTCTAACAAATTAATATGCGCATATGCTAACATTGAGGCCCGCAAATGTATATATTGAGGTTGATGTCTCTCGTAATATGTAAGTATGAATCCGAGTGGACATTTTTCTCTTCTGGCAAAAGTTCCAGCATCAGTACAATCTTTGATCAAGAAATCAAGCTCACCTTCATCTGTTACAAGTCGATGAGTAAGGCGTTTTTCATCAATCTTGCCACCTTGTGTAAACTTACCTATAATTGCACAACTAATATCTCGATTTCTAGGTAGCCATACTTTGGTCTGTTTAGTAAGAAAAATTATTGCCTCTCTAATAGTCACACTTTCTAGAATACCAACCTCAAGAAGATATCGTAGAAGTACAATAGGTGCCCATCCTTTTTCTTTCCCACATCCTTCTCCACTTCGACATGCAAAATGTTTTCTGTACTAGACGGGAATCGCTGAATGTATATTTGATGCAAATTTAAAAGATCTTATCTGCACAAATCTAGTGATATCATTTTCCGGCAATTCTCCATTTACCGCAACTCGAACAAGGTAGTGTGTTGAATATCTGAACCTATTGAACCATGGTGTATATTCTCCTTGACCTCGCATACTTGCTGGATAACATTCTTTCATATCGATACATACGACATCATTGATGTGATAATCAGGTGCATTCCAGCGTCCACCATGCTCATGCTCGACATAGGCTTGCCTTATATTTTCATTTACTTTTCCAGATATTGGATACTATTCATTGATTTCATTAGCGAGTCAGCTTCCAGCATGGTTTGTACCAAATACCTGCTCTGCTAAATCAACAACTTTTAAAGACTCTGAAAGAATCGATTTCTTTTCTTTTTTGATTATTCCTTTTTGATATTGCCAATCTATTGTATCATTGATCAGTTGTTTGCATGCTTTTATAATTTCTGTATGCTTTTTCCATGTTCT